ATCCAGCAGTGGCAGCAGAGCCCGTGCATTGCTGAAGAACAGGGCAAGAAACTTCTAGATCGAATCCGCCGTGAGCAACAGTCAGCTCGCACGCGACTCACTGATATGGAGAAACGGTTCCATGAGCTGGAGGGCATCATTGCTAAAGCCAAACAACAGGTTGTGCAGCACGATGAAGAGGTAAAAGCCGTCATAAACATAGTTTCAGCATTCTGTTGCTTTAAAAACACTGTAAATACGTTACAGTATAATTGTTTCATCTTATATTTTAAATGAATAAAATGCAATTAAAGAAAATGTAATTTATTCCTGTGATGCAAAGCAGAATTTTCCGCAGCCATTACTCCAGCCTTCAGTGTTACATGATCTTTCAGACAACATAACAGTGCCCTGAACATTGCTTTTCTTTTCCCCGAAGGTCAATGAGGGTGATGACGACACAGATTTGCAAATCTTCTGTGTGTCCTGCAGTCACCCAGTTAACCCCAAGGTGGCACTGCGTCACATGGAAAGGTGCTACACCAAGGTGTGTTGTATTTAAAGGGGTCCTATTATGCTTTTTCACTTTTTCAACTTTAGTTAGTCTGTAATGTTGCTGTTTGAGCCAAAACAAAATCAAGACTTTGTAAAAGAGCATAATAGGACCCCTTTAAGGTCTCTGTTTTTACAAATTGTGATGCGTAGACCTACAAACATTGTCACATGTTTTAGTGTTAAGTTTTTAAAATGCTGTTCGTGTGATGTTCATTTTCATCTTTTCCTTTTAACCAGTATGAGAGTCAGACGTCTTTTGGCTCCATGTACCCCACTCGCATAGAGGGGTAAGTACAATTTTATATAAATATATATATTAATAGTACATATTTTTAGATTAAGATGCTTCCACTGTGATATAAATTGGTGTTTTTTTTAAAGGGGTCATGAACTGCCTTTTTTATTATTTTGTACTGTTCTCTGAAGTCCACTTATGTTATCAAGATTTTTACATCAAAAAACATAATATTTTAGCAGTAATAGGCTACTTTGTGTCCTGTTTTGAATCACAAGGCTCCGTTTGAATAGGTGTGGCGGATTGTAGACTCAGAAGTAAACACCCACTCCGGTGTCGAATTGTGCCTTGTTTGCAAACGAATCTACGGTGAAATGAGGTGAACAAACGACCAACCTTTAGTCTGACACGGTCTGGAACTTCATTAGAAATAAAGCGAATCCACTGTTTCCTAAATGTTGGGATCCGATGGAAGGCAATGCAAAGACTGTGTTGGTCCACAGTTTGGCACTGCACAGCATATTGTTGTCTTCGGAGCATCTTTATCGTTTGGTTTCTGTGTAGACCTGCATACGTCTCTCTCGTTATTTACACTGTGTGCACGAATCAGTGGGTGGAGCTAAACAGGCAGTGATGTAGAAGCAGGCGTTGATGATCTTCTGCGGAGGCGGGGTTTATCCACTCTATTACATCATAAACTGGCACATTCCACAATCTGCCGTTTTGGCAGATTGGCTTCAATATAAGCTGTTTTTAGACTAATGAGAAAGTTTTGAGTTCTGAAACTTACAGGATGTTTTTATAGTACGATGACCTCTTATATGTCAAAAGATCAAGGGAATTTTGATTTCTCAATTCATGACCCCTTTAATGTTTTTGAAAGTCTCTTCCGCTGAACAAGGCTGCATTTATTTGATCAAAAGTACAGTAAAAACAGTCATATTGTGAAATAATTGTTACATTTTAAAATATTTTTTTTTCTATTTGAATATATTTTGAAATGTCATTTATTCCTGTGATCAAAGCTGAATTTTCAGCATCATTACTCCAGTCTTCAGTGTCACATGATCCTTCAG